GATCTGCCTGCTTACACTCTCCTAAGAGCTGGAATTACAGACAGAGCTGGGATTACAGGCACGCCACCACACCCAATCTCAATTGCCATCTCAGTGTGCCCCGGGGGTGGGGCTGGCACGGCAGGCCCGTGGATTGAACCCCCCAACACGTGGATATACTCTGAAACTGTATTATTTTCTGTGTTTCTCTGGACATGGCTTCTTGTCCGTCTGAACTGTTAGGACATAATTGAGGGGACTACCTGCTCAGGCCCTCTGCCTGTCCCTCTGTCAGATAGGCGCTTTCTTTCCCTCAATAAATATATTCTGGGGGGCCGGGGAGATGGCTCAGTGGAATAAGCGCTTCCCTGGCAAGCGCAAGGGCCTGAGTTCAATGCCTGGTTCCGCAAAAAATAAATAAATAAATATATTCCGCTAAAAAAAAAAAAAGAACATAATTGATTCTGTGTAACTCAGATGCTGTCCTCAGTCTTAACTCATTAGCAAACTAAGCTAGTTTTACTTTATTTCTCTGAGCCTCGTATTTGTTCATCTTGCTTTTCAAATGGGTTTAGAATGAAACACTGCAAACAGTTGTTCAGAATAAGGAAAACATTTAGCATCCATTTGTTCTCCAATATTTATGGAGTACCTGTCCACAGAGTGATGTATGAGCTACAGTTCTTGTCCTCTGGGATCTCACTGCTGATTTAATGAAATGGAGAAGAAAAGAAAAGAAAAACAAGGACAGAATAATGTGTCAAGGATGACACTCGGAGATGTCACACAAGCTGCTTTGGGCTTCCACCTTAGGAGAGTGCTCAGTGAAAGTTGGCCCCATGAAGAGCAGTCATCTAATGGTCACAGCCCACCGTGGGGCTGGGAGCAGGGCTAAAGCTATATGAAGGGGACAAGAAAGCGAAGAAAACCTAGCAACCGAACTTCATATTGAGGATCCATTAAAAAAGTACGTATCATACCTCTCTTCTGTGAATCCGGATGCTCCACAAAATGCGCTCTAAGAGGACAACTTGCTGCATGAGACGGAAATGATTTTCCTGAAGTTGTTTATTTTCTTTATCGAGGAAAAATGCTCTAAGAATGGCACACATCAGGGCATAATTAGAACACTGTCTGGATTTTATTTATTTATTTATTTTTATGTATTTAGTTCAGGGTCTCACTATGTAGCTCAGACATGTAGTGATCCTCCTGCTTTCAACCTCCCCAGCATTGGGATGCACCACCACGCCCGGTCTCAGTATCTAGATTTTAGAATCAAGTTTGGCAGAATAATTTTTACAATATTCCACATTCAAATAAAAATTAATAAACTTTTGGCATATGCTTATTAATTAAATATAGTATAGTTTCAAGGTGAAATATGAAAGGTGTAATTATAGGCCCTAAGACATTTAAGAAAAGATATGATCCCACTTACGAATAGGACTGAAACTTCCCCCCCCCCTTAGGGCTGAAACTTTATCCCCTCAAATATTATAGCTACACTGCTTACAGCTGGTTCTTATCTCATCTTCTTCTTTTTTTTTTTTTTTTT